TAGCACAATACTATTCCATTACATTCATATACCACAACTTGCTCAGCCATTCCCCAACTGATGGGCATCCTCTCAATTTCCAATTCTTTGCCACCACAAAAAGAGCTGCTATGAATATTTTTGTACATGTGGGTCCTTTTCCCATTTGTTTGATCTCTTTGGGATATAGCCCTAGAAGTGCTATTGCTGGATCAAAGGATATGCACATTTTTGTAGCCCTTTGGGCATAGTTCCAAATTGCTCTCCAAAATGGTTGGATCATTTCACCACTCCACCAACAATGTATTAGTGTTCCAATTTTCCCACATCTTCTCCAACATTTATCATTTTCCTGTTTTGTCATGTTGGCCAATCTTATAGGTGTGATGTGGTACCTCAGAGTTGTTTTGATTTGCATTTCTCTAATTAATAAAGATTTAGAGCATTTTTTCATATGACTATAGATGGCTTTAATTTCTTCATCTTAGAACTGTCTGTTCATATCCTTTGACCATTTATCAACTGGGGAATGGCTTGTGTTCTTATAAATTTGTCTTAATTCTCTACATATTTTAGAAATGAGGCCTTTATCAGAGAGACTGGTTGTAAAAATTCTTTCCCAATTTTCTACCTTCCTTCTAATCTTAGTTGCAGAGTTCAGTGATTCTTAAGTTATCTCTCTTTAACCTGTCTTCAGGTCAGTTGTTTCTGATACTCAGTATTTTACATTATCTCCTTTTTTAAAAAAAAGTCTGTTGATGTTCTAATATTTCTTGCTGCATCATGGAGTCACTGATTTTTGTTTGAGCTGTTCTAGTTTTCTTCAAGTTCATGTCTTGGGTAAGAAAGTCCTTTTTTTCCCCAAGTCCATTTCTTACCATATTCTCTTCTTCCACTAATTGTCCTTTCCAGTTACTTCCTCCAAAGTTCTTATTTTATTTTTAACAATCTCTTCCTCTTTTTCTTCTAGATATTCATGTAGTCTTTGTGGAAAACCCATTTTCCCTTTTGAATCTTTGTTTATAGTTGTTAATGAGTTAGTTACTTCTATTTTTGCAGAATTTTTCATACTGTTCAGTGTTCATTTACTCATCTCTCCTACTGTTGGTACCAAATTAGGGCTTTGTGCCATGCTCAGGCTCTGCCTCCTACTTTACTTTTGGGTGAAGTGACAGATTCTGCATGATGTTGCTCTGTCTGCATCCTCTAGTTTCTTGTCCCTATTTCTTTCTCCTAGGGTTTTCTAGAATCAGAGAACTTGATCTTCAAGACCTTTGCTGGCATTTCAGAAAAAGAATTTTGGGGACCTGGGAGTCCATGGGACTAGACTGCCCAATCTAAAAGCTGTATATCAAACCAGCTTCACACCACTGCCCATTGTAACTACCTGTTACTGATTTCCAAAGGCCTTGCCCTGGGGATTTTTCAGGAGAGCTCTCCTCTTGCTATCTCCAGACAGAGATTCTTGCAGGCTAATTTATCTTTATCTCTAGTCACAATGGGAGGAACTGGCACTGGTTTTTACTACAGATGGCAAGCTTCGTCCTTTTGTCCACAAGATTCTGACTTATCTTTCATGCCTTCGATGGAATCCTTGACTGTTTTTGTCTGATGCAAATTGAGGGTTTGGCTGGAATAGAAATGTGAAAGATGGGCAGTCTGCCTCTTGTGTAGATAGGCCTCATGGTAGGAAGTTCTAAAGCCTTTTGTTTCCTAAAGGAATCAAACAGGTAGCTTTTGAAAATAGAACAGACCCTGAACTGTCAGCTCTTCCTACCCATAATTTTTGCTCTCTAAAAAAAAATGCATAGTACTTTAGAGTTCTTATATAAAAATTGGTTCAACAAAACTTTATTGTACTTTCCTTCTGAAATATACACAGGTCTCATACATGGATAAATAAGTAAATATAATGGACTTTACAGAGGCTATAATTTGTTTAAATGAGGTTCAATGATACAACTACCAATTTACTAGAGCTATTTGTAATAATAAACAATTCAGAAGCAAAATGGAGAGAGAAATACAGAAGTCAGTCCTAAAGCTTTCAGTATTTAACATTTTTACCTGTTAAGCAGAAGAGAACTTGCTTCAAAATCAAGATCTAGGTTCAAGATCTGTTCAAGTTGTGGTGGGACCAATATCCTAAGCCCCACTCCTTCCCCATCCACATGCAAGACAGACAAATTTTTTCAGTGTACTTTTTTTTTTCCAGTTTGCCAATTGTGTTTTTTTGAGACTTGTTTTCTTCAGTGTACTTTTTTTCCAACTGGCCAATTGTATTTTTTAAAGACTCTTCTACCTCTCTCATTAGACTTTTAAAATCCTTCTTGAGCTCTTCTAAGAAGGCTTTTTGGGCTTCAGAGCAGTCCATATTCCCTTTTGATGTTGCAGATGTGGGTTTGTTGACAATGTTGTCCTCTTTAGAATTTCTGTCTTGATCTTCATTCTTCTCATAATATGAATCTATGGTACGTTTCTTTTCACTCATGGTTTCTTTATCCCCCAGCCTGTAAAGAGATTGAGCTCTCCTGCTGGGGAACAGAGGGCACTGACCCAAGCTTCTTGTGTTGGGAGCCTAGGCCTTGGTCCCTGACTTTGTGTGCTGGGGTCTCTTATGTTGGCAATTGAAGGCTGTAGGGTTCTGGCAGCTTACCTCATGTTGGGCTGGAACCAGCAAGGCTGGAACTTTCAGGCAATTCTGGGTTGCCTGCTTTTCCTTTCCTTTACCTTTCTTCAGCTCCTTTTAGATGGGTGCTGCAGGGTGTTTATCTGCCTGGGGCCCCTTGCAATGCGAAGCAGCATTTCTGCTTTCTGCTAATACACTGGGAGATTCCTTTGTGCTAGAGTGCCGAGGCATCTAGTGGTTTTCTGAGCTGGTTTCCACGGTTCCCCACCCTCACTGAGGCACTGGGAGGTCCAGGTGTTGGTGTTTGCCTGCTCTACCACCTGGGTTTCAGGATCTCCTCCTGGTTGACAGTTGGAGGCTGTAGGTTTCTGACAGCTTACCTGGTATTGGGTTGGAAGGCTGGGACTTTAGGAAGACTCTAGGTTGCTTTCTTCAGCTCCTTTCAGATGAATGCTGCAGGGTGCTTATCCGCTTGGGGCCCTTTGTAGTGCTGCTTCCCTTATTTTTGCTGAGGCACTGGGAGACCCGTTTGCTGGGCTGCTGCACTGCTGTTCCCCATCTTTCTTCTAGTTCAGCTGTTCCAGGGTTGTTTTTTTCTGGGGCGACATTTTCTGGGTTTTCAGAGGTTGACAGGGGAGGGTAAGAGTGACTACCTTTTTGCTCTGCCATCTTGGCTCCTGGAAGCCCAAACTTTTTATTAAAAGACACTGAAACTCAACATCTGAAGGCTTCAGGAAAGAAGGGTTTAGGCCACCATTCAAGGACAAAAGCATCTCCCAGCCTATGATCACAGACTAAAAGCATGAACCTCATTAGGAAGTCAGGCTCAAACGAACCAATACTTTACCCTACAGGAACATCTCTCTCCCCATTCTGAATATCCTTTTTATGCTCTCACTAAGTAAATCTCCTTTGGTTAACTATTATGGATCATGACTTCTCTAATTTCTTCCCAGTTTCAGACCTAAACTACCAGGAGACTGGCCTAGACAAGCCCAGTTCACCAAACAAGCTTGTCCTCTGATATCTACTAGCTGTTTGACTCTTATCAAGTCATTTAACCTCTCAAGGTCTCAAGCAACTAATACTAGAAATTACAGGCTAGCTGATGGTCTTTACAGACTAGCTGATGTCTTGGCAGGTAAAGGAAGTATCTTTTCTAGAAGTTCCCTATAAAAAAAAAACTCATCTGGAGAGAGGGAAAGAGAGAGATATATCAAAAGTATAAAAAAAATATTACAGGATTTCACTGAGATATTTTTAACTTCACATTTAGTACACAAAAATTTATAAATTCTACATTCCAGGTGAAAAAAATTAGAATATCCCCCAATAAACTTGCAGACACCACTAAGTCAGGGTTGAAAACAGGTTTTAAAGTGGGAAGAGAACTTAAATGACCTTAGTAGATTAGAGATGGCCTGACAAAAAAACAGGATAAAATTCAACAGAAGTAAATATAAAGCAACTAAAGACAGGGTTTGTTTCTTATTTTGATTTTTGTATCTTCACTGCCTTTGACACAACAGGTGCTTCATAAATTTTTGTGGCATAGAAAACAGTAGTATACACCTCTGAATAAGAAACAGGTAAGAAGATTGAAGATGTAAATGTAAGAAAGAAACCAGTAAGAGACATGTCACAAGCTAAATGAAAGCAACAGTAACCATATTTTCAAAAAAGTGAACTTGGATGTAAGAGCTAAGAATTAACCCTTTTAGTCATAATTAGATTTCTATTAGAATAACATATCCCAAGTTGATTTTTACATTTTGAAAAGAATGATGAAGATGTAGAGAAAACTAATTAAAATAATTAAAGGAACGGAAAATAAATTGGGTGAAAGGGAGACAGATGTCAAAGGACATACAGTTGCTTAAGTAAAACAATGAAAGCTCCTAAAAACTATTTTTGGGTATGTGAAGTTTTTAGAGATAAAAACTGACTGCTTTTATAACTCTACAGAAAAGTAAACAGAAGAAATGCTTCTATTTTAATAAGAAAAAGTAAAGACAAACATAAGAGCAACCCTTATGAAATGACCCTAAGAACTAGTAAACAATGGAATGAGCTTACAAGTACAGTTATGAAATCTTAATCTCCAAAACTTAAGAATTAGCTTTTTAAAAAATATCTCTTTTTAATATTTCCCTATCATCCAAATCCTACAGTTAAGAAGGGAAGAAGGGCCTGAATTCCTTTTATCTTCATAGAAGTTTTTTTATCTTATTTAGATTTTGGAATTTAGCAACTGATTTCAAGAGAGACCATCATAAACAAAATGAAAGCTTTAACTCTGAGTAGCCAGATAAAATCATAGCATATCTGAAGGGCCAAATTAAGATCTATACAAAAAAAATTTTTTTAGCAATTTTACAAAAATAAAGTTTACCTCTTGCTCTTCCAAAACCAATCTGCACAGCAGGTTGAAGGCTTCCTTCATTGTCCAATAAATGAGGCAAATGGTAATAAATATTTGGCACTTGAAGAGATTTTCTGTTCATTAAGTCTTTTAATAGTTTTAGGGTATTATCTGAAAAACAGAGATCATCATCAATCTACATAATCACTTTTTAAAGTTAATAGTTTTGTAAATGAGCGACAGTAAAAACTTAAGTAAAACCCATGATTAGAAATGTCAGAATCAGATTTACAAACTTTCCATTCCCAAATTCACACCAATTGAAGCCCCAGCTTAAAATACAAGTCTTTTTTTTTAAACCAATCTAAATGAAGTAATATAGGCCAACAGAGAGAAAGAATATGGAATTCTGAATACTTACCACTGACTATTTAAATACTCAAATGGATCTGTGATCCTATCAATTTAGAGCCCACTGATTTTAATGTTCCTTCTAACTGCAAACAGCAACTTATCCGTGTCTTCTTATGACTTTTATCAGTCTTCCATAAGTTCACAACAGAGAATCCTCCAACATGCTAGAGTTCTTCCTCAATTTCTTCACAAAGCTACCAGCAGAACAACTGGTTTGTACAAATGTTACCCCTGGCCTTTGCCTAGTGACCAGCCTATTACCTTTTTCTATCATACACATCCTTGATATATTTCAGGCTCATTCTTTTAAATTCTTCATTGGTGAAGCCTACTCATACCCACCATGAGCTTCTGTATTGCTTTCTAAGCAATATTCATTTTTAATTCTTTGTAGACTATAGGATTCCAACTCTTGCAACCATACAAAGACAGTGGTTAATATGGGTATTAAAAAGATGGGTCTTTGTTTCTGGAGAAATTTAGGATCAATCAAGTAGCTATACAATTTTCTGAAAGCAATCCAGTCCATTCTCTTCCTCCTCCTGTTTAATTCTGGGCCTAATTCATCCATTAAACTATATACATACTATGGACAAGCTTTATATACAACTGCATGTCAAAATTTGAACTGTTAACATTCTTTTTTCATTTGATCTTTCCCTATGGTCAGGCCAAACTTCTCAGTTCTTATAGATGTCTTCCAGGATGTTCTGCAATGTTAAGGAGTTTGTGAAACCTGCATGAGATCATCTGCAAACAGAAGCATCTGGAGGATATTCAATTTGTTTAGCCAGTTGCCAATAGGAGGACACCCTCTTGTTGGCTACCATGAAAAGAGACGATATAAATATCTTTATGCATACAGAACCTTTTCCTCTTTCTTTGACTTCTCTGAGCTACAGATCTATTAGTGGTTTAGCTAGTCATACATGCCAAGAGTATGTATGGACCCTGGGGCATCATTTCAAATTGCTTTCCACAAAGGAGGGACTAATTCACAGATCCGTCAACAAAGCACTCAGATATTTGTTTTCCTACATCTCCTTCTCCTTGAATATCTACTATTTTATGATTCTGTCATCTTTGCCAGTCTAACAGGAGTGAGGTAGATCCTTAAAAACCGCTTTTCTCTAACTATAGTAATTTAGAGCATTTTTATATGATCGATAATAGTTTGGATTCCTTCTTTTGAAACCTATGCATATCCTTTGACCATTTATCTATTGAGGAGTAGTTCTTAGTCTTGTAAATCTGATTCAGTATATACATACACGTATAAACACGCACATATACACATACATATTTACTAAGATACCTTTATCAGAGAAACATATTACAAAGATTCTCCCTTATGAACCTGGTATTTTTTTTCCTTTTACATCATATTTGTTTGTACAAAAACTTTTTAATTTTAAATATTTAAAATTATTGTATTTCATGATCTTCTCTATCACTTGGTTGTTCATGAACTCTTCTCCTATCCACTGATCTTAGAGGTAATTTCCTCCTTGCTCCTCTAACTCATTTATAATATGCTCTTTTATATCTCAGTGATGCATACATTTAAAATTCATCTTGGTGTATGCTCTAAATCTAATTTCTTCCAGACAGTTATACAGTACTATCAGGAGTTTGTGTCAAATAAGAAGCCTTTACCTTTAGTAATCAGGGTCTTTGGATTAGTCAAACACTGAGTATGCTTGCTTCTGTACATAGAGTACCTAATCTGTTCCACTGATTAACTGGTCTCTTTTAAATCATTATGAAATCAATTTAATGATTTACTCATTTTTAAAATCACTGCTCTGTAGTAAAAGTTTGAGAACTGACAGACTGCCTCCTTTCTCACTTTTTTCCATTATTACATTTGAGATTCTTGACTTTTTGTTTCTCTATATCAGTGTTATAAAACTCAAATAGAAAGGGATATGTGTGGTTGCATACTGACTTGGAAAACCACAAAGTAACATTATCTATATTGTACTGCATTTTTATTTTATTAAACATCTCCTAATTACATTTTAATCTAGTTCTACTCATGCCAGAAGGAGTTTGACACCTCTGCTCTATAAGAATTTTATTATTTTTCTAGGTCTATAAAACATTGTTTTGGGAGTGTGACACAGTACTGAACGAGTAAAATTAATGTAGGTAGTAAGTATCATTTTATTATATTGGTTCAATCTACCTACAAGCAATTAATTTTTCTCCAATTATTTAGGTCTGTATTTCTGCAAAGAGGGCTCTGCTTTGTTCTATTTAGGGATAGTTCTACCTTCTTTATAAGCACATCTGATAGTATCACATTAGAGTCCATTAGTGTGGTGATTCTATTGTCCGTGCTGGTGGAAAATGTTAAAAAAAAATCTTTCCAGATCTTTTCTATTTTACTTCCATTTTTCATCTTTCATTTTCATCTGTAAGTGCCCTTACAATTGCTTTGCTTAATTTGGTCTTTTGCTGAGAGTTTTTACAAACTGGTTTTAACTCAACTGCTTCTTACTGCTTTGAGGCAATACTATTCATAATATTCCATTGTTCCTCTTTGTAAGATTTTAAAAACCAGTTTATATTGTAAACTAATGTTGCCTTTTATCACTACTTCCTTTGCCTGACCAGGCAGTCAAGAGTTTTTGCTGACTGGCACTCTTTTTTAGGCTCCTTTGGTTTCCTTTTTAATAGCAGGTGATTAGTTAAACTTCTATATTAGATTATTGTTAACTCCTATCATTTTTACCATTTATCATCCATTTTTCATCTTTAATAACTTGTTAAAATGGATTAAGATTGAACTGTTTCAACTGCATTCTCTTTTTCTCATTCTTCTTCTAGTTTTATATTAATTCTGATATTTTACAATAAGTTGGCATTCTGAATGGACGGCAACTGCTGATTCAGAGATAACACTCACATCAATAATGAATTTTCTCTATTAAAACATAACAATCATTTTTTATATTGTTTGTTACAATGGCTAGCAATACCTCTGAATAAATTATAATGGATGACTCATCATCTATATTATGCAGTCCATAAAAATGCTAAGCAACCCGAGCTAATTAAAATGCTATGCCATATAATTTTTAAATAACTTCTCATCTTGCTGCATTTCATTCCAGAAGTCTTAATACAGCTGTGGAAAAGAATACTTTCTTTAAATTGAAAGGTTCAATCCATAAGATTTTAAGCAATAAACAAAACCAGGCAAATTTGGATTGTGATTTTCAGGATATCACTAAAGCACAACAAGAAAACTTTTAATATACTGGTAAAAATTCAGAAGTAAAAATGAAAAGTTTAATTTTCTCAAATTTGACACTAACTTTCCAGAAAAAAAAAAGTTTAACTAATCACTTGCTATTAAAAAGGAAACCAAAGGAGCTTACAAAAAAGTGCCAGTCAGCATGAACTGATGCTGAGTGAAGTGAGAAGAACCAGGAAAACACTGTACACAGTAACAGCAACATTGTACAATGACCAACTTCGACAGATTTAGCTCTTCTCAGCAATGCAATGACTGAAGATAATTCCAAAAGACTCATGATGGAAAATGCTATCCACATCCAGAGAAAGAACTATGGAGTCTGAATGCAGATCAAAGCATACTATTTTTCCTTTTTTTCCCCCCCTTTCTTGTGGTTTTTCCCCTTTGGTTTTATTCTTCCTTACACCATGACCAATACGGAAATATGTTTAATATGATTGCATATGTATGGCCTATATCAGACTGCATATCGTCATCTTGGGAAGGGGAAGGAGAGGGAGAAAATTTAAAACTCAAGATCTTATAAAAGTGAATGTTGAAAACTAAAAATAAATAAATATTTTTTAAACATTTTGGTTGGGTTTTTTTTTTTGAGTTCCACATTCTCTTCCTGTGCAGTCATGCAAAATGTATTTCCGTGTTGCAAAAGGAAACACAAACAAAAGGAAAGAACACCAAGAAAGAAAAAGAAGGCAAAGAAAATATCTGCTTCAATCTGCATTCAGACACCATCAGTTCTTTCTCTAGAGATAGAAAGCATTTTTCATCATAAGCCCCTCAGAATTATCTTGGATCACTGCATTGCTGAGAATAGCAAAATCCCTTATAGTTGATCATTGTACAATGTTCTCCTGGTTCTGCTCATTTCACTTTGCATCAATTCATGTAAGTCTTTTCAGGGTTTTCTGAAAGCATTCTGCTCATCATCTTATACAACAGTATTCCATCACAAGCATATACTACAACTTGTTCAGCTATTCCCCAATTGATGGGCATCCCCTCAATTTCCAATTCTTTGCTACCTTTAAAAGCGCTGCTATAAATATTTTGTACATACAGGTCTTTTTCCTTTTTTTAAAAAATATTTCTTTGGGATACAAACCTAGTAATGGTATTACTTGGTTAAAGTGTATGCATGGTTCCAAATTGTTCTACAAAATGGCTGAATCAGTACACAACTTCACCTACAGTCCATTACTGTCTCAATTTTACCACACCTCCTCCAGCATTTGTCATACTCCTTTCCTGTCATATTAGCCAATTTGACAGGTATGGAGTAGTAGCTCAGAGTTGTTTAATTTGCAGTATTTTTCATCAATAGTGATTTAGAGCATTTCTTCATATGATTATAGATAGCTTTGATTACTTTGTCTGAAAACTGCCTGTTCACATCCTTTGACCATTTATCAACTGAGGAATGGCTCTTATTTTTATAAATTTGACTCAGTTCTCCTATATATTTGAGAAATGAGGTCTTTTTCAAAGAAACTTACTATTAAAAATTTTTCACAGTTATGATTACTAACTCTGTATTTCCCTCCATACTATTTTCCCCCTTGTTTAATCCTCTCTCTTTCATCTTTCAATCTCTCCTTTCACCCTGTCTAGCCTCAAAATTGTTTTGCTTCTGTTTTTTACCTACCCAAATCTGTCCTCCCTTTTATCACATCCCATCTTCACCCCTTCTTTTATACTTTTCTCCTCCTACTTTCCTGTTGGGGAAGATAGATTTCTATATCCAACTGCATATGTATGTTATTCCCTCTTTGAGTCAATTCTGATGAGAGTAAGGTTCACTCATCCCCTGATCCACCATCCTCCCTTCCACTAACCTCTTTCGTGCCTCTTTCATGTCAGATATTTTACCCCATTCTACCCTTCCCTTTCCCCTTCTCCCAATCTATTCTTTCTCACCCTTTAATTTTATTTTTTTAGATAATCATCCCATCATATTCAATTCACACCTGTGGCCTCTATATATACTCCTTCCAATTGCTCTAGTAATGAGAAAGTTTTGAGGAGTTATAAATATCATTTTCCTATGTAGGAATGCAAACAGTTTGACTTTACTGAAATCCTTATGAGTTCTCTTCCCCATTTATATTTTTATGCTTCTTGAGTTTTTTATTTGAAAGTAAAACTTTCTCTTCAGCTCTGGTCTTTTCATCAGGAATCCTTGAAAACCCTCTATTTCACTGAATTTCCATTTTTCCCCTAAAGGATTATACTCAGTTTTGCTAGGTAGATGATTCTTGGTTGTTATCCTAGCTCCTTTGCCTTTAATTCCAAGCTCTCTGATCTTTTAATGTACAAACTGCTAAATTTTGTGTTATTCTGACTGTGGCTCCATGATATTTGAATTGTTTCTTTCTGGCTGCTTGCAGTATTTCCTCCCTGTCCTGGAAGCTCTGGAATTTGGCTATAATATTCCTGGGAGTTTTCATTTTGGGATCTCTTTCATGAAGTAATCGGTGGATTTTTTTCAACTTCTATTTTACTCTCTGACTCCAGAATATCAGGGCAGTTTTCTTGAAAGATGATGTCTAGGCTCTTTTTTGATCATGGCTTTCAGGTAATTCAATAATTTTAAAATATCTCTCCTGGATCTATTTTCGAGCTCAGCTGTTTTTCCCATGAAATATTTCACTTTGTCTTCTATTTTTTTTTATTATTTTGATTTTGTATTATTGTTTCTTGATGTCTCAAAAAGTCACTAGCTTCCACTTGCTCAATTCAAATTTGTGGGGTTTTTTTTTGGCTAGGCAATGGGGTTAAGTGACTTGGCCAGGGTCACACAGCTAGTAAGTGTTATGTGTTCAAGGCCAAATTTGAACTCAGGACCTCCTGAATCCAAGGCCAGTGCTCTATCCACTGCACCACCTAGCTGCCCCTCAATTCAAATTTTTAAGGAGTTCTTTTCTTCAATGATTTTGTGCCTCTTTTTCCATATGGCACATTCTGCTTTTTAAGGCATTCTTCTTCTCATTGGATTTCTGTACCTCTTTTTTTTTTTACCCAGTCTGTTTTTTAAGGTGTTATTTTCTTTTTCTTTCTTTTCTTTTCTTTTTTTTTTTTTTGGTGAGGCAATCAGAGTTAAGTGACTTGCCCAAGGTCACACAGCTAGTAAGTGACACTTGAGGCCGGATTTGAACTCAGGCTCTCCTTACTCCAAGGCCAGAGCTTTATCCACTGCACCACCTAGCTGCCCCAAGGTGTTATTTTCTTAATTTTTTTGGTGCCTCCTTTACCATGCTGTTGACTCTTTTTTTCATGATTTTCTTACATCACTCTCATTTCTCTTCCCAGTTTTTCCTATACCTCTCTTATTTGATCTTTTAAAATCCTTTTTGAGCTCTTTCATGGCCTGACACCAATTCATATTTTTCTTTAAGGCTCTGCATATAGTAGAGTTTTAATTTTGTGTCTTCTGAGTGTATATTTTGATCTTTACAACAGTGACTTTCTATAGTAAGAATTTTTCTGTTGTTTTCTCATTTTTCCAGCTTAGTTCTTGACTTTTAACTTTATGCTAAAGTGAAGCTCTGCTTCTGGGATGAAGGACGCACTTCCCCAAACTTCAGGGTTTTTGTGCAGCTGGTTTTTAGCTAGTTCTGGGGGTCTGTAAGTATTCAGTTCTTCCACAGTTGTATGATCTAAGGAGAAGTGTGTTCACTACTCTCCTGGCCTGGGCTCTGGTTTGTGGGTGACCACAAGCACTCTTTTCTACCCTGGAACTGTGACCAGAGTCCCTGCTGCCCTGCAGCAGCAAGGTCTGGTATGCTAATGCTCCTCTTTACCCTGAGACTGCCACCCAGGACTGCAACCTGGATCTGAGTATGAAAATGCAACAGTCCTGCAAGAGTACTGCCCTTGTGCCAGCAAAGGGACCCCTGTAATCTCCTTCTGACCAGCTGTCTGACTCCCTTTCCATCTATGGGCTGAAAGCTTCAGAATTAGCCAAGGCCACTGCTGATTTAGTCACTCGAAGGTCTAGGGCAGATTTGCTGTGGTAGGTTCTGTGCTGGCATGGCCTGCACTGGATGCCCTCCACTCTCACCCCAGTGCAACAGATCTTTCCTGCCAACCTCCTAAGTTGTCTTAGTCGGAAAACTGTTTCACCCCATCTTCTTATGGGTTCTGCTGCTCCAGAATGTGTTTTGAGGCAATATTTTAAAGGTATTTGGAGGGAATTTGGGAGAGCTCAGGCAAGTCCCTGCCTTTTCTCTGCCCCCCTGGCTCTGCCCCCCAAGAAAGACTGCTTTTGCTTTTGTTTTGTTTTTTGTTTGTTTGTTTTTAAAGACATTATGTAGGCTGTAGCTCAAAAGAAGAACCCTGTCAATCCACAAACTAATGTCTCCCAAGGGTACAGAATCACTTAGAGCCATTCAAAACAAATGTTAAAATGCAAATGTAAAATTGCCTTTGACTAAAACTAAGGAGAACAAAACTATGAATCTACAACAGGTATTTTGTAAGATATTAAGAAGTTGGTCTTTAAAATCCAGTACGATCTGGACTATTTCCCGCTTAGGTCCACGTCTGTTTATTCCATTTAACTTAAATTAGGGCTAATGGTTTTATTTAGTCTGAAGCCCTAAATATATGATTTTCTTACTTTGAAGGAGCCATCTGGGTTCTGAATACAGGTTGCAATGCTATCATGCAAATATAAAAATTACACACGCATTATGAGAAAATATAAAGTAAATCTTCAAGCAATTTAATAACTCTATACTGCACTTCAAAAAGGGAAATAAAATCAATTTAATTTTCCTGTTTGCAATGTAAACTCTACTGCTATAATTTGCCTTTATATGCTCTTAAACAATTCTGGCTAATTGTTAGGAGATTTTAAACTTCACCACAATAGGATGAAACTCCGTGATGCTTTTTTTCCCTCTAATTATTAGCTTCCCAGGGAAGAATAACAAAAGCTGACCTCATGTAACATTACACACCACGTAAATGTTTATAGCACGCAGATTGATAAGTAATATTTTAAAAATTTTCAATTCACTTTTGTTTCAAAACACAATCTTAACATCCTGCTGGCTGTTTCCAAATTTTTTCAAGAACCTACCAAAAAAAATCAAAAAATATTTATTGTACCTGAAAAATTACTTGATGCAGTCTTGGTTCCATTTGTTTCTGCTATTACACGTCTGAATTGTTCTAAGATTGCATTTAATTCGGAAGAACGTTGCAAGATTCTATGTTCAGCTATACGGAGACGTTGTTTCAAGGCATGAAATTCTGGCTGATATGCAATCAATTTTTCTAGAAAGAAAAACATTTCTAATTATTTCCTTTTAAAAGCCAAAAAAAAAAATCAAACACTATAGCCAAAACAGGGAAATTATAGAAGCCAAATAATCATGGTTTCATTAGTCAAGAAATTTCACAAGTTCATTGGTGCCCAGTTGAAAGACAGAACCATACAAATATACTCTTCTTTTTGATATTAAAGCTATTCACACAGTCTGACTGTCACAAATAGATTTATAATAACTGAGGAAACAAATTTTGAGCCATGTGACTTATTTTCAAGGCGTAAGAGGTTAAGTCACTAACCCGATCGTCTCAGTTTCCTCATCTCTAACATGAGAAAACCCTAAATGGAGCCACAAAGAGTTGGACTTGACTGAAACTGAACAACAACCACATGCGGTGCACAAACATCATTTCTGTCGTTCAGTCATGTCCAACTCTTCATGACTCCATCTGGGGTTTACTTAGCAAAGAGTGCTGGTTTGCCATTTCCTTCTCCAGCTCATTTTACAGATGAGGAAACTGAGGCAACAGGGGCAAGTGACCAGCCTGGGGTCACACAGTAAGTAAACATTTGAGGGTGGATTTGAACTCAGAAATATGAGTCTTCCAGACTCCAGGTCCAGCACTACATTCATCTCACCACCTAGCTGATGGCTTCCTTGGCTCTGCTTACTTCGCACTGATTTAATTCATGTAGATCTTTTCATAATTCTCTGAATTTAACATTTTCATCATCTTGAAGGGCAGCAATATTCCAATACATGCATGTGCCACAATTTCTTCAGTCATTCCCCAATAGACAGGCATCTACTTTGTTTACAAGTATTTGCTACCACAAAAGCACTGCTATTAATATTTCTGTGCATATGATGACTTTGTTCTTATTAATAATCACCTTGGGATATAAATCTAGTAGTATAATCTCTGAGCTGGAGAGCATGGACATTTTAGTCACTTTATTTTCACAATTTCAAACTGCCAACCAAAACGGTTAAACTGATTTACAGCTCACTCAACAATGCATTAGGGGTGTCTATCTTCCCACAACTCCTCCAACACAGACTATTGCTATCTTTTGTCATCTTCGGTAATTTCCTGACTCTACAGACCTGATGGCTTGTGGCAGCAGAACACTGTATGTACTGACACAATTGACTGCCATATCAGTTGTTTTTGCTGATCTATTTCTTTCTCTTTCTTTTTTAGTCTTTGTTACAATGGATGGCTCTCTGGGGAAGGGAGAGGAGAAGTACATGTTTAGAAATAAAGGCAATGTAAAAACAAGGGCTAGTAATAAAAATTTAACTTTTTGTAAAATAAAAATTAATGTTGCCAAACAAATTAATTTCCATATTCAGTGTCTCTGCACTAGAGATGTTTGTCAGCATAACATAATCCTCTTGACCCTAGCTTCTGCTATAGTATCTTAGACCAAAAGTCCTACTTTTCCCTTCCTTGAAATTTTTGAAATCCACTCTTCCAAAATACAACTGTGTCCAGTTTTACCTTCATTGTCCTTACTGTCATATATTCTAGAATGAAGTAATCTCTTCCTGCAAAGGTTTCCATCATTTCCAATTTATCAATCAATTCTTTTGGGTAGAAATCAGGTCCTGGAATAAGTCTCCCTCATTGCTTCCTCTACTCTCTTATAAGCAAAATTAAATAAAAAACTTTACCTAATTTACTTAACTTTAGTTAAAGTTAAAATTTCTCAGTTGTTCTATTTCTCAATTAGATGTGTGGAAAATTAATAGTCCTTTTCACCAATATAGTATACTAACTCAGCACCAGAGTAGTGGTTTGTTTCTAGAACTCAGTACTCTTTACCTCTTTCTGGCTGGCAAACATAGAATACCCACACAATATTACCTCAGCTTCTTCCTGCTTTCTCATCAAAATGCGCTCTACTAATGCTTCCCCTTTGTCTAAATTATGGCTTTCCATAGAGAAACCTGTATTTTAAACTGAGGCCATCCTTAAAATTGTTACCACCCTTTAGAGGTGGTTCACCAGGCCATAGCTGGTAGTTGGCCAATGAATTTTGATGGCAGCGATGCTCAGAAGGATTGGGGATGGAAACACTACTATGACCTTCCTGAACTGGTGACAACTATGTTCAATTTCTACACCTCTGAGTCCAGAGCTGCCCATGCCAGTTAATCAAAAGTAATGTTTCCTTAAGTCCCCAGGGAATGTGAAAGAGAAATTCTGAAATTAGCTTATCGTGTTGTAATCTTTATAGCTTGTGCATTATTTGGACTGAAGGATTGTAGTTGGCTCTTGGATTTAAGAATAGCTCACATACTTGGTAGGAGATTTCTCAGACCAATCTCATAATACTTTTAAAACAGGTTCTAAAACTTCATGTGCATCACAAACCCCTCTGGATCATGAATCACAGACCCCCTTGTCAGAATCATGTTTTTAAATGCCCACAATAAAACACTTAAGAATTAAAAGGAAAAAAAAAGATCTGTGGATAGAGCATGGGGCCTGGAGTCAGGAAGACCCAAATTTAAATCCTGTCTCAGACACTTGCTGGCTGTATGACTCCTTCTTCTCCTTTCTCCCTTCACATAGCCAACTTCCTAGGAAAAGGTCTCCGAACTCAGGTGTCTCCACTTCCTAATCCCACTCACTTCTTAATCCCTTGCAGTCAGGTTTTCATCCAAACCACTTGACTGAAACTTCTTTCTCCAAGGTCGATGACGTTTTCATTACTAAATCCAATGGCTTTTTCTTAGTTCTCATTGTTCTCTTCTTCTCTTGGTTTTCATGTGGTTTTGTTTGTTTTTGTTTTGTTTTGTTTTGTTTTTACTTCTCTGCATCATTTAATGCACCATCTCCTTCTAGATACTCTCTCTTCCTTGGGTTTCTGTGTCACTACTTTTCTCCTGGTTTCCTTGCTACCTTGGACTGATTGATCTGGTTCTCTTTTACAGGATCATCATCCGAATCCCACATTCATTCATGGTTGTACACAAAGGCTCTGTTCTAAGCTCCTCCTTTTCTCTTTTTTTCCTGGGGATCCCATTAGCTCCCACTTATTTCAACTATAATCTTTGTGCAGATGACTCAAATTGACATATTCAGTCCTCATTTCTCCCTTGAGCGTCAGTCCCAAAGGTTTCTTAAACTCAACACATTCAAACAGAACTCATTATCTTTCCCCCTAAGCCCTGCCTTCTTCCTAATTTCCACATTTCCAAGCACTTTTCTCTCTTACTGGACTTGTGTTTTCATCAGTGAAAAGACCTGCTGAAGAAGAACTTCCTCTAACAAGCGGAACAGCATTTGAGCTGCAACTTAGTCTTAGGGAGTTGCCTGGGGGAATGAGAGGTTAAACAATCTGCCCAGGGTCAGAGAGCCAGTAAGTGTTAGAGGCAGACTTGAACCTAGGTCTTCTTACTCTAAAGTCAGCTCTTTATCCATTATGGCCCACTGGTTCTCAAGAACACCAGTCTTCTAGTCACCCAGGCTAGAAACCTCAAAGTCAGTCTCAAATTTTTACTCTCACTCACTCTAGTATACAATGCTAAGTCCTAGTAATTTCAACCACCACAACATATTCACTTCCATTCACAACCACTCTTCTTATTTAAGCCCCCATTACCTTCCACTTGTCTATTGGAATAGCCTCCTAATTGATCTTCTTGAATCCAGTCTTTCCCTCTCTCCAAACACACCGTCTATGCAATTAAATATTACTAATATTTTAAGAATGACACTTTAGAAATATTACCTCTTTCCAGCTAAATATTTGGAATAATATTCAGAATAATAAATATTAGAAATATTTAGCTGGACAGAGGTAATATTCCTAAAGAGCATGTCTGATAATGTCACTCCTCTGCCAAGAAACTTCAGGAACTTCCCAATGCCTTTAGGACAAAATACAAACTCTTCTGTTTTGACATTAAAGGACCCTGAATATAGATTCTGCACAGATTTTTATATAGTAAAAGAAAACAATAAACAGGATACAAAATAGGATGCAAGATTAGGTAATCAGATTCCTTACTAGAGGAGAGATTTGGTCCTTTCCAAGTAGGGAGGGGGAAAGCGAGCAAGTGGAATTCAGGTGACTTATATGAAAACCACAAAACTGAGATTGTTCACAAAATGGAATCACTGTTCACAAAAAGAGGTCAGTTTGATTCTCACAATTTCCTCCTTTGATCAATCCTTGCCTCTCACTCCCACAGACTACTATCTATAAATCAAATTTATAAAGTTTTTTATATGTTCCTTCTCAGGATTACATACCAAGAAAAGTTCACTAAGAAGCATTGTTTCACATAACTTAGTACAACAGCTAATACAAAGTCTAAGAAAAATAATGATGCATAAAGCAAAGACAGCCCGTTTACCTCTGGTTGCTAATATATTATTTCCCTGTAACTAAATGCAGCGAGAGGAAGAATCCCATCAATGGTCACTTGGTTTAGGTAACTGTTTTTCTGCTATAGCCTGTTGAATTTTGTGAAGATTTATCACAATTTCTCCTGATCAGTTAATGTAGAAACAACCAGTCTTATTCATCATAGCACAGGGCCCTCCCCTGTGAAGCCCTAAGAAGGTCTAAGACCATACGATTTTGTATGTAAAATTTTGTATGTAAGTCCATTTGTTCTAAATAATCTACTTTGATTTGGAAGGAGGAGATGGACTCATGGCCTCAATTTCAAATGAGTGGTTTCCAGGAGCCTATTCTAGTGCTACAACCCCTACAAAGGGAAATAGGGACCAGAGGATCTTCATCGTCAGCCCATATTCTTTCACAGGGTGTTGGATTGTATTTTCACCTCCACTAGTTAGAGTCTCTTCTGTTTTATGATGTTTAAACCACCAAGCGCCCAAGTTTCTGGTAGTTTTCTTTCCCACTAGTCCTATGGTATGATTAAAGACTGATATTGGCAAGGTTGAATAGATGATCCCACATGTACCAAACCAATTCAGTGGAAGAGAGGAATACTGGCACAACCAAAGAACTACTCCCCAAG